ATTATTTTAAATAATTTTTCATAATAAAAAATGTTTAGCCCCAGAACCCTGAATGACAGGCATGTTAAAATATTTTAATGAGATGAGAATTACAAAAGATTGGTAGGTCTAATTAATGACTCATGTTTAATTGTCTACATAAATATAATAAACTTGGACTTTTAAAGATAAAACGGTAAACTTTCAGCTCAGAAAGAGGAGATTTTTTGGTCCTCTTATTCAACTCAAACATAACGTGGCATGGTTAAATGTGTCCATGTGATCCCTCTCAGAAACAACCGTGTATGAGCCTAATTTTCAAGCGCAACACAGACCTGTTAAAAAAGAAACCATGTAAGAATTACCCAAGCGTAGTTTAAAGGAATTACATGGGTGGGCAATGCATGTTTTGAGAGTGCTACACAGAGCAAAAATCAGGTCATGAATTTCAAATTCAGACAGTGGATCAGCATTGGCAGCTCTGAAGCTGGAGCTGAGAGAAGGAGCTGTAATACTGGCAACACTGAGACAGAGCGCTCAATTTCAAACCCACAAAATACAAAGTAAAAACGAAATTCAAACAAAGTTGAAATAGCTTGAGGTTTGGTAGATTTGTTAGATGTTCCTCTCACGTAAAGCCTAAAATCATCTTCATTTAGGATGGCACTAGAGCTGGAGTTATAATTAAAACCATTTTGCTTTTTAATCAATATTCAATCTCTCAGAAATAATTAACAGCATATTAAAGAGTTTACTGCCTGACAGAGCTGGATGCCTCTACATCATTAAGCTGTTGAAGCGCTGCTCTTTGACTCCTCACGTCCCATTTCACTGGTTCACTGTGCCTCCGTACAGGCTCTTTAAAATGCTGCTGGAGTCATACTGTACCTGCAGATAATAACACAGCCCACTGATAACATGCAGCGTGTATGCTCTCCCACTCTCACTGAGACATGGCTTTTTAACATGTAACACATAAACACTCGAGGCTACATGAGTGAACATGTACGTGACAAAGGTAAGGTGTATGCAAGTCTACTGAGTGCAAAAGCTTCACCGGAAATAGCACTAAACTATGATCCCGATCTTCAAGGCATACTGCTGAGGGGTGGCCACCTGCAATAAATCCATGCACCTTTCCCCTGAGCGATAATGCAGCCTGCATTGGAAGTTGCACAACAACACAGCACAGCGCATATTAGAGGAATTAGAAGTCACAGGTCAATAGTTTCGTATTTGCTTGGTGCTCCATCTTCTGCTTTGGTGTCACATTTTTGACCTCCAGGCTCAATCACTCTGTCAAACACATAATGTGTAGGTCACACACACACACACAAACAGCTTATGTGTACATACAAACACAAAGCAAAGTGTAATGTAACCTGAGTAATCAATCATCTGCTTGATCAAAATACATCACATACCTGAGAAGACGTGCAGTGAACATTAGCCGCAGCAACAGACTGAGCAGTGTTGCAGAATACAGTAGGAAAGCCCTCCAATCAGCTGTTGAATTTAACCAGCGCCGTCTTACGTCACCAGGAATTGTCTGTGTTTATACAGGCTAATAAATTCCTTGGGCATTCTCCAGATGACTGCCATGGTAATTTGGGGGCAGCTTGGTTTTCGTCTACTGCTGATTAAGGAAAGAAGCAGTAGAGTAAAACAGACTGTCTACAGTGCTGTACAACAGACCAGGAATTTGTTTTCACATGGAACGGACAGCTGTCGGTGTCTATACCTGTTCTCTTCACCCTGCTCCGTTCCAGATAATTTCAATTAATTTGGTTTCCTGGAGACAATGTTGCTATTTATCTGGGTGTGGATGAAGGGGGCGGGGGGGGGAGGTAGAAGCAGTCATTGTTGGTTTAAGCTCTGCAGTCAAAATACCTCCTGGCAAAAAAATGGATTCATCTCTGTGTGGTTACTGCCTTACAAGATCCACAATAGGTCATCACAAAACCCGAGGATTTACCATAATAAACGGCAGACACGTGAGTTAGGCCTAGAGTCAAAAGTTTTTGGCTTCCACTACTTAACTGACAGACAAGATTTACAGTCTCTCAAAAATAGTGGCACACAACCTCTGAAGCCTCTGAATAAAGGGCTTTTAGGCAAATGATGGATTTGCTACCCGCTTTTTTTGGGGCACAAGTCACAAATGAGCTGGAAATAAAGCCAAAACATGACTAATTTGTAGTTACAACAATATATACCCTTAAAATACACAACTGTTTAGGTTTGACAGCATTGCTATAGAATATCGTAATGGTAGATAAGAACACCACATAAGAAAAGTAATATAAAAATATTTCATATACTTATTTTGCAGTTCAATTAAAACAGTAAGACAATCGCTAGGAGTGAATAATCTTTGTACAATGGAAGTGGTGCACTGTAGGCCTGACTGATGTTTTTGTGGTCTTTTAATCCCATGAAGGATGGGCTACAATGTAGCATGATGCTTAAATGAGATTTAATGTATGCATTTGTGTTCAAACATACATTATGAAAAAGATCGTGTGAGTTTAGTAGCTACTTGTTTTTATAAAAAAAAAAAAAAAAAAAAAAAAAAAGGTTCAGCACCAACTCGTAACACTGTTGGGTACAACATGCAAAAATCTCTGTAGGTCCTTAAACCGTCATGTTTTCAGCATGGAGAAGCAGTCGGGCAACAAACTGAATGTGTAGTCAGACAGGGAGGAAAGGAGCAGAAGGAGATACTGTACTACAACTGTGATATTGGTTGTGGTGTTTCCAGTGGGGAACTCTAATTTCAGAGGAGGAAAGGTGAAGAACTGTGTGGGTTGCTGACATTTAATTCTATCTCTAGCTGATAATATTGGTCATGAAGGGTCAACAGCTGCCTCCCAACTTTTGAAATAGCTTGTTTTTAAACATTGGTTAAGTCAGTTACACTCATACATATATAAAAAAAAAGTCCACAAGTAAACACTGATCAGTTTTTGACCAGCCCAATACTACTTTATGGTCTATGTGTCAAACTGGGGCTGCAACTAAAGATTATTTCTCAATTAATCAATAAATCATTGTTTTTTATTAATTGGTCAGTGAATATAAAATACCCACTGTACTTTCTTACTTATTCAAATGCCTTATTTGTTTGGCCAACAGTCTCCAAAACCCAAAGATAATTAGTTTACCATAATATATCACATCAACTAAACTAGAAAAGCAGCTAACTAATTGATTTAATGGACTAATTCCCCATGAAATGTGACAGATATTCTCAGTCTTCCACGTACTTCTTTCTAGTGGTCCAAAAACAGCATGGAGTTTGTAGTTCTGGATATGCTTTTCCAGTCAAATACAAGCCTTAGACTCTACAGTACACCTGTGTATTCAGCATTGAAAACACACTGGTTGTCACTTGTTACTTCCTCTTTCTGGTATTTTCCTTTTCCACCTCTGCACTACATCTCCTTTTCCTTGTGTCACACAACATGGCATTACCAGGAAAAACAAAACCACTCTGTTGTTGCCTCAGACAAAGCTTTTTAATCCATTATCAGTCTCATTTGCCTAATCTTCATGGTTCTTGAAATGTGGTGTCAAATGCACGTAAGGATTCGGAGTTACTTCCTGTACTTTTAGTCTCTGGATCTTACAGAATCTGTGTCTATTTGGGGAAAAAAAAAAAACCTTACTGCTGTGCCCCTGAATAGTTAAAGACCCCATAACATATTGTAGGTCTCAGCTTATGTGAAGTGGCTGTTAACCTCCAATCGATCTGCAGAGCTCATCAAAAGTCTTGAGTGCTTTACATTATTGGATGGAGGACAGAAGCCAAACCACCCCAACAGTGACTGGGGATTTAATTCTTACGAGTGAATAAAATCACATTTCACACAGCTATTGGACAGCACGGCACAGACTAATGGGGTTTATGCGACCGACAGACTTGCGGGTGTGGATGGCCGGGGAAAATATTCCTGCTGCACTTTGTCAATCGCCAACTCAGCACTGTATTTAGCTACCTTCATAAATCATTAGATCTAATATCCAGTTTTAATGGAAGCTAAATAAGTATACACGAGGGAAAAACTGAATCAGTCCTGTGATTTTATCTGAAACTATTAGTGTTGATCTATTTTGTCCTCAGAAGATAACGTCACTCAAAATGTTTTGTTGCTATGGAGTGAGTTCACTTGTTACCTCTTTGTAGTAAACTGTAAAAAAATCCCAACCTGGAATTACATTGACAACACGCTTTTTAGGATGCTTACACTTACAGCTGCATCCATTACAAAAGCTTGTTACATTTGCTAAAGTCGTTGTTGATGATGCACCCTTTTTTTTTTTCTTCCAACCAGTTCTTGCTGGTCGGGGGGCTGTAAAAAGAACGGCTAATTAACGTGGCCACCATTTGCATCTTTACCACGATGTATCGCAGCGAAGGGAAGAAAGCAAGCCGCAGCGGGCTAATGAATGTTTTAGATTTGAGAGCAAAGACTTCCTGTCATTCCAACATTCACTGGACATAACCCTTCCTAAACCCCCTTAAATTTCTTGTGCTCTGCTTGTCTGCGAGTGTTCACCTTTTACCTCCCACCTTCCCTTTCTCCACTTTTAATTCCTGAGTTCTCCCCTCTCTCGGCTCCCCACCCCACCCCCACCCCCACCACCACACAGGCTGCGCTCGCATGTTACAGCGGATTTGCATGTCTTGGCTCCAGAGCAAGAATGAGAGGAGGATGAAACAGAAACCCCAGTTGCTGCCTCTGCAGAGGCTTCACTTCATCTTGCAGAAGAAGAGCTCCCAGCCTTGGGGCCCCAAGAACACAAGGCCAGGCAAAAACATTGCAGGCTGTCTTAAAACAGGCCATACCCACAGCACACACACACCACACCACATTTAGTATATATATATATATATACACAGACACACACGTACACACAAACAAACACAAAGATACTTCACCAGAAAGAATTTACACTGCACAGTATTCATGTTTAAATATATCTATATGCAGGAAATAAATTGAAAAACAGAAGTGTACCTTGCAGTGTGTTGCTCCCCTCCCAGTGCATTAACAATCAAGTCTGCTCAGCTGAGAAGGATATGACCACGAGTGTTACAGTGCCATCATTCTTCATTCCTACCGAGAGATGACACACCTTAAGACCGATGATCATCTTTTTTTTATGTGCATGTCATGGTCTCCCAACTACTCTCTTTGATTTTATTACAGTCAGATTTATGAGACAGCTTCAGCAGGGTGATCATTCAAAACTCCAGACTTCCATCTTTCTTGAGAATCAGATTACGACTGAACTCTCCTAATGAGATCACTTAAGTGACTTCGTCTGTTCTTCTTTTGTTCTAAGATGTAAAAACTAGTCGACCTATTGATTAGTCAAGTGATGTATCATACTGTTGTGGTATCTTTGGGCTTTGGCAGCTGGTTATACACAAAATAAAGACATTACCAAAATGTTGTGGGCATGTTTGCCTATTTCCTGACCTTTTTATAGACTAAACAACTAATCTATCAACAAAGAATAATTGACATATTATCTCTTTGCAACCCTAAAGCATAATGTGCTCGTAAAAAAATAAAAATATTTGATATAAATAGAGATTTGTGATAAATATTTGTTTGTTTAACTTCATATTGTGTTTTTTTTTATGTTTAATAAATATTTTGATATGATCTCTGTCCATTATCGCCCGATAATTAAAAAGCAGCATTAGAAGGGACAAGTCAATAAAGCTCCCCATTGCTGTGCTGGCCTGTGAGAAGAGCTCTAGCAAAGTGCCATCACAGAGAACCACAGTCCAAAAGATTTTGGACTGTTGACAAGCATGTGGAGTGCAACTGTTCTGTTAAAACCTCTCTGAAAGAATTACTGACTGCCCATTTCTCTTTAATTTGACCAGTTGGTGTTATAAATTGTTTAAAAAGATGAGCATGTTCTGGTAGTACCACATGCTCTGTCACAACTGCAAATTTAACCACGAGAACAAGAAGTGTGTTTGCTTCTTGGTCAGCGATGAGTAAGTGTCATATACTTGACTAAAAAAAAAAAAAGAGCAAAACCAAAAAAAAAGGGGAAAAAAAGAGGGGAAACGTGCATGTTTCGTTTTTGGTCCTCTTCAAAATAGGTACTTTTGTTCAGGATGACTCCCATGGTGAAAGTGGTGCATCATGTGCCGTGAGTCACTGTAAAGAAACAAGAGACCCATACGAGCTCCTGACCTGTACTGTTCCCACTGACCTCAGACCTCACTTTGATAAAATAACACGAAGCCACAATGACCTGGAAACTATGGAATATAAAAAGGTCAAATGTTGGAAAAGTTGAACTTATTTATATCCTGGCCATATCTCTTTGAAATAGAAATCAAGGAGCACATTCTGCTGCTGGGAAAAGTCTAATTTTGCAGTTTGAAATCCGTTTATTGCGTCATATCGACAAGGAAAATCCTACTCACTCCCCTGTGACTCATAAGTATATAAGGGCTTACTGAGCAGACACATTTGATAAAGAGAAATTAAAAATGAGAACTTGGACATTATTTTTGTTTCAAGACTTTCAGATCCATATTCTCGGAAAGCTGCATTTTTGCGTTATTCTGCATTATTAGGATGAGATAATACACTATTATAGACATTACATTACTACTAGGATACTGTTTTTGAACAAATGTAATAAATAGGGAACAAGTGACTATTGCAAAATCAGGCACAACCAGGGTGATTTAAGGCCACAACACAAAGCAAACTTTGCTGGCTTGTGGTCCCACTTCTGTCAGATTCAAAGAACTACTAGAAAGGGGGTAGGGTCTCTTCGTAAACACAATGAACACACGTGTAGGGTGAGATCACTGCGAAACTGCAATCTGTTGCGCAAGAATAAATTACCTCAAAATGTGCTCACTGTCAATCTGAAAGCGAAGTGAAGGTGGTGACGGTGGTGGTTTGAGTGGTGCTGACGTCATAGGAACCCTAGTGCGACAACAGCAACACATAGCAACACATAGCCTACAAACAACATGTGGTTCCCTCTTACTCAAACTGAACTTCATGTGTCATCATTGCTGAAATCCTGGAAATCTTAAAAAGTTCAGCGTAGTTACCTAGGTGATTTTCTTAACAATGAATGTCCCAAAATAAACCTACTGTATGACATAGGATTATAGTTCAACTACTGCTAGTTTTGTAGAATTAAGAAATCTTTGATCCATTTTCTATAGGTTCTCTTACATCCTTTTTTTTTTTTAAAATGGAGATTAACACCATAAAAATTCAATCTTGTGTATTTTACTTCAAACTGTTGACTGATTCAGGCTGTTTTTTGTGTTCATCAATGCGCAGTAGTCTATGCATTACAGGGCTGTGAGGTATTAACCAAGTGACCACAGTGTTAATTGTAGCGCAATATTTAAATTAAAATTAGGGAAAGTATACAAATATAAAAATAGTTTTTAAAAAGTTATTTTAAGCTACTTTTGGCTCATATGACAGTAGGCCACAATAGACACTCTGTATGCTGCAATACGGTTCACAACAACCTCAAACTACATCCTCTAAGATGATTCACATCCCTTAAAATAGTTTGAACAAAATACTGAATATCACAACCTTCATGTAACAAGAACTCACTGCAGGACTGTGACAGCATTAGTTTGACCTAGGTGTGCATAATAAACTAAAGGCACGTATCTGCCGTGTGCAAGATACTCTGCTCTCCTTTGCCTACAGACAACCGCCTCTGTGCAGAAACTAGACGGCGTGCTGCACACTCTACACCGATCGTGGCAGATCATACGAGCGCAGCCAAAAGCTTGAGCTACATAAAAATGAAACATACAATAGAAACCGACTGATATCAAGATTATAGTGCCATCTCCAAATATGTCTCCAAAGCCTGAAATAAAACTGGACCCAAAATAAGATGCTGAGCTGGCGACAGAGATGATTCTAGTTGAGAAATACAAAAGTAGTCACAGCAACTGCTGCGACTATATTAAATCAAGTTGTATCAAGTCATATTCAATTATTGGCAGCTTTGTGTGTGAAATACAAAAGGACCTCTTAACACACTTTAAGAGACACTTTGTGTCCATTGTGCAGCACTGTGTGTGATCTCGACTTGACATGCTTTTAAAAATGTGACTTTAAAACTCATTGATCCAACTCGTACCATGTCCTGTGACTGAGAAACATATGTGTGCTTCTGTGCCAAATAACGTGTGGTGTTAAGCAAATGTTTTGGTGCGACCAGATTTTGTGCACGACCCAGTAACAGAAAAATAGAAGCACCAGCGTTGATCTGTAGCCACGCTTCTCGGTTCAGTAGCAACACTGCACCAAACCACACAATCAGCACATACAAGGACACGCTTTGTGTATAGTATATAGGCGGGCAAGTGGACAGACATTTTATGCTTGGTCTTAACAAAAGCACCGGGAGGATTTCACTGAAAGCTAAACGTTTGATAAAACAAAAAAGGAAAATCAAAATGCCACAGTGGCGGTAAAAGTGGTTCACCACTGGGACCTCTTACAAAGGAGCAAAAACATGACAAAATTCACTGGAGAACAGACGAGATTAAAAAAAAAAAAAAAAGAGGTTTCAAAAAGGCAGTCATTTCGGATGACTAAATAGGGATTATCAGGCATAAACCCAAGCAGCAATCAGCATTAACCAAAACTTAATAATTTGTTCCTCTCCAATTATAGTCACTTTTGTCAGAGCGTCATTCAGACTTTCTTCGACTGGACTTGGCAGTCAAAGAAAAAAACTGCAGAAATCACAGCATTGCAAGCTGCCTGCAGAACTGAGCTGGAGTGTGGCTGGGCTGTACAGTGCACATTAAGGCGTTAAAGTCCCCTTGCTCATAGCCCCTCCCTAACCCCCCACTGTACACACCAGTAACCCCCCCACCCCCCACCCCAGCACCAAGCCTTTCAGACCAAACGCTGCCTTCTGCATCTTAATAAGAGGAGGGAAACTAGCAGGGAAGTGAAGGCATGGCAGTCTTTTAGAGGAAGCCGAATAAATGACTGAACACACACCCTGGGGCGGGCATGCCGGGGGGTTTCCAGGAGGTCGGAGCGAGCGGGGCCAATCGTGTCAAGACGAAGGCGGCAGACTAAAACAAAACTGACATATCAAAGCAGCCGAGCCTTGTAGAAGGGAAAAGAGCAGCCAAGACACCACATTCAACTGCACAGCTTGTTTCTGCTTCAATGAGAGACAACACGACCGAAAAACGGCAATTAGCGATTAAAGTGGAAATTCCATCCGCTGCAAAGCGGCATCTTTTTCCAATCAAAAAGCAACTAAAACCATCAAACCATCTGAGTGATCCTATGGCCTTTGATCCCATCCTCGGTTTATTTTCAGAGGTAGGCAAACTGTAAAGCAGGCATTTGGAGACTGCTTCTGTACCCAAACTTTTTCATCTCCCATCCTAATCCACATAATATTTAAGAGCAACTGTTCAAACTTTACCTCCTCAGTACAGCCAAAACTCTATCATTACCAAAACAAAGCGACTAGGCCTTGAGGCCACTTTCACTGATTCATGATAAATGCTTTGTCTACATGTAGAAACCATAATCTCTGACAACCTGGATAAACTGGGACTGTGTGGTACAAAATCACACAGATATTGCAGGATTATGAGTGCACTTAAATGAGTTATATTTTTAAATTGGCTTGATGAGAGCCAGTGTGGCCTTAAACTCGGTTTCCTTTTAATGAGATATCAAAGCTCAACTGTTTACTATGTATCTTCTCTGCTTGTGATAATAAAGGGAATCCTCTGAGGTGGCTGCCATGCTGACACAGCCTTTAGGTGCTTAAATCCAAAAATGGGTGCATTAAGTGCATTTTAATTGACTTATATTTACCCACTGTATTGTCTTGCAAATAACAAAGATCTTCTGGCACTCCTAGAAGACTTAAAAAGTAGGTCATTCAGTCTCCTGTGAGTCATAGATTTTGGCAGGGGACCAAGCAGAGCAGGTATGGCAGAGAGCTAGAGCTGACAGGGCCCTAATCGTATACTGATACAATTTAATCAGTGTTATAAAGATAAAGTTTACTTTCATCTCTGTGCATTTTGTGGTATAATGTGATATTAAGC